GTTGAACTGAAATGTATAGATGTGAGTCATGGTCTGCGACCTGATCATGGAACGACAAGTGGCAGCTGTTGAACTGAAATGTATAGATGTGAGTCATGGTCTGCGACCTGATCATGGAACGACAAGTGGCAGCTGTTGAACTGAAATGCTATAGAACAAACTCTGAGAAAACCAGGACAAGGAAAACAGAGAAACACCTGACATAATCTGAGCATCCAGGAGAATTGGCTGATAAAAAGCAGCATGCCCCGAAAGCTGAAGTGGTTTGGCCAAGTTTGCTCTCGTCATGGTTATCTAGAAAGAGAACAATAATGTGGGCACAGGTTCCGGACAAAACAACACAGGTGCAGATCTCAAGATGCCATATATTGAAGATGAATTTTCTATGTAAACATTCAGGTCTAAGAACTAGATAGAGAAAGAAAGCGACGTTCTGTTAAGGCCTTTCTGAGCGGTGATTGTTATCGATAAAGGCAACCACCGAAACACTAGGTTGATTGTGTTTGTGTGGTGTCTCACACCACCCCTCCCCCCTCTTCCCTCATGATAAACTTGTTCAGTGACACCTCACTGGATCATTAGCTGCGTCAGCTAGGTGACAAGTTCTAGTACCAAAGGTGATTGTAACAATTATTATTTATCCGTCTTGACTTTCTCCCAAGCGTTGAGGGTTCACAGATCCCTCTATCGCCCACCACCACAGCACAGATTAGTTGCTGCCACTCTTGTGAGCAGTGAGCTACTTTATGACAAAACGGATTTGATGAAAGCTCTATGGATCAAATGGACAGTGAAACAGAACATACAAAGAATCCAAACACCGAAAGACAAATCCAATCGTTTAGTGATGGGAGGGGCGGTTGAGGGTTGGAAGATATTCAACAAATGAGGAGGAAGCAATGGCGAACTTTTAGTCAGGTTAAAACTGCTCCTATTAGTATGTCAACTCTTCTTTGGCTACAGAAGAAGTTCATGGAGCCCATGTGGGAATGTCCCGAGTGCAGTGATTCTTGATTCAATCATTCACTTATTCCTATCTTAACAATTTTTTCCACATCATCATCATTATCACCAAGTAGCAGGTCATAAACAGAGCGTCGTCCCCATCACAGTCTGTCTGAATGGTCTCTGGCCAGCTCTCCTTCATCGTCCACTTTCCTGTCCAAGGTGTCACTTAAATCCTATGCCTATCTTCATGTTCGTCCCCATCACAGTCTGTTTGAATGGTCTCTGGCCAGCTTTCCTTCTTCGTCCACTTTCCTGTCCAAGGTGTCACTTAAATCCTATGCCTATCTTCATGTTCGTCCCCATCACAGTCTGTCTGAATGGTCTCTAGCCAGCTCTTCTGCATCGTCCACTTTCCTGTCAAAGGTGTCACTTAAATCCTATGCCTATCTTTATGTTCGTCCCCATCACAGTCTGTCTGAATGGTCTCTGGCCAGCTCTTCTTCATCGTCCACTTTCCTGTTCAAGGTGTCACTTAAATCCTATGCCTATCTTTATGTTCGTCCCCATCACAGTCTGTCTGAATGGTCTCTGGACAGCTCTCCTTCATCGTCCACTTTCCTGTTCAAGGTGTCACTTAAATACTATGCCTATCTTCGTGTTGGTAGACCACACTCCTCTTTTCTAGCACAATTCGTTCTGCTACTTTTGTTTCTAATTCACTGTAGCGCTTTATAACATTGTAGCACAGCTCTCTTTTTTGTTGCGTTTGTTGATATCACACCCAGGTTCGTCTTTAGATTTGCTACAGGAGGGGGCGATTGAAAGATTATAGGCGGGGAGAAAGATGGTCGTGTCTATAGTGGTGGTGATGATGATGATGTCTTGCTTGCTACATTCTTCTCATGTCTCTGATGCTTGTATAAAACAATGGCTGGCAACAACTGTTCTTGTCTATACTGTCTTCATCGTGATACTTCAGCAATGTTACAAACAACATTAATAATATTTTGAATAGCGCTGTGTTCTCTCTATGGCTTAATACTCGTAGGCTCGCGTTGTGATCTTAATCTCTAGCTACTTTGGTTCTAGTGTCTGTAACTACCGCTTGTCTTCTAGTGCTGTCTGGTACTAGCAGCTCAATCGTCGACTCTAACATCTCAACAGTGATCCTAACTAATGTGTCACCGTTAACCATGGATCCACGTATCTTTTATGTCGTCTCTGTAGCTCGTTGTCTTGTTTCATGTCTGCTTTCTAGTGATTATCTTCGAGGCTCAATATGACTGTCTCCTCTCCTTTTAGAATTGAGCTGGCAAGTGTGATTGCTTTATGAGGGTCAATGTTACTAGTCCTTCGTCTTTAAGTCGTGTATACTGGAGGCTTTTTTTAAGGAAAAATATGACTGGTCCCTCCTTTAAGACTGAAAGCTGCTTAAGTGGATTCTTACCCATTATTTATACTTGAATGCTGGAATGCTAGTTATTTGTTTTCTTCTCACCTTTTCTGCTTCTAGAATATTCTGTTGAATCTCAACATGTGCGTTCTCACATGGGATTTTTCTAATTATATCTCAATTGCATCAGATTTCTCATCTTATTCTGCGCAACTATAGTAGTTAAACTGACAATTGACGTTATAGAAGCTTCTAGAAAACAAGTACAATTGCGTTTGCTTTGTTAGGGCATGACAACAATGACGTCAAATACTATTTACAAAATATCGTTGCCAAAACTTGTTGACTTTCTTCTCATCAAGTATTACGCAAAATTATATCCTCTTACAAATAAGTAATGACGTCAGTAGTTAGTTTTGGCGGGAAAAAGAAGGCCACCAAAACTTGTTGATCTCGGCACATCCCAGCTGTGCGCCATATACTAACTCCTAACAAACAAGGTATGACCTTTCTCTGTTACAATATTTCAGTTTCTAAAATAAGATGCTTAATAGCCTATCTTCCTTGATGTTCAGTTTTCTAGTCTACTAGGATATCAGTATTTCTTTTAATTTGGTCCAATTTTTTCTGATAATCTTCCTGTAACATTTCAGTTTAAACGCCACCCCCCCCCCCCCCCACACCCCCCTTTTTTTTTCTTTTTTGGTCATTCTCCTTAATGTCTTCAGGACAACCCAGGACTCACATCCGCCTGCTGCTACAGTGAATGAGTTGAGTTGAGTCAAGAATTGACATCACAGCACTCGGGAAATTCCCACAATGCTCGGTCCTTACCTTCAGCAAGCGCAGAGTTCCAATACTGATGTTACCAGTCACAAAATGGTTGAAAGTCCATCTTGCCTTTCCTCTGAGTGTAGTCAGCCGGCCAGACCCTCTGGTTACACCCAGGTGCCTCATTCTCTCCAGGCTATAATAATCTTCTTTCTCTACTGATTCCGTTGCTTGTTCCCAAAGGGCCTTGACAACAGTGAAGATGCATTGTATTGCGAATTATGATTTTGCTTTCATTGTAGTGCTTAAACATAGACTTTGATTGTTGTTTAATCGTTATGTATAGCGATGACCACTGTCCATTCCATGAGGGTTCATTTATGCCTCATCAGCAACGAAATCGCAATGGCTGTCCGATCATAGCTACTTAAACCTCATCAGGTATAATAGAGAATTATGAAATTGTCGAACACGTTCATTGACTTCTAGGTCACACACCTTGACTTCTAGGTCACACACCTTGACTTCTAGGTCACACACCTTGACTTCTAGGTCACACACCTTGACTTCTAGGTCACACACCTTGACTTATAGGTCACACACCTTGACTTCTAGGTCACACACCTTGACTTCTAGGTCACACACCTTGACTTCTAGGTCACACACCCGTGCACAATAATAAATGCTCTCTTAAAAATTAACGGGGTTGAAGGATTATATGGCCGATATATTGAATGGCTGATAGATGATTAACTTGCTGATAGATAAAATTGCTGATAGCTCAAATGGTTGATAGCTTAAATGGTTTTATTGACTAAATGTCTAAAGATATAAATGGCTGATGGATTAAACCGTCGATATATATAAATTGCCGATAGACTGAATGGACGATAGATTATTAAATGGAGGATAGATATGAATAACCGATGAATATAAATGGCTGATATATTAAACGGCTGATAGCCTGAGTGGCTGATAGATTAAACTGCTAAAAGATATAAATGTCAGAAAGATATAATTGGCTGAAAGATATAAATCGCTGAAAGATAAATATGACTTATATATAATATATATATATATATATATATATATATTATATATATATATATCAGCCATTTATATGTTATTTACAATGTCTCCTATCTCGGCTTTGAAGGCAGCATTGACTAGTTTAGTCATGCTTGACTCACACGTCACGCAATCGGGTTAGTGTGAGAGATTCGCCAATATAATGTTGCGTTTTTTGTTTTTGTTTTAGTTGCATCATGTTCCGTTAATGTTATTGGCCGAGGAGGGCTTCTAGCGGTAACGTCCAATAACTTTTTCCAGATAGTGATAACGAGTAGCTATTT